TATCAGTAGGACCAAGTTTATCTTCATTCCTCTGGGTTGAATCCAGTCTCACATAGATTTTTTCTTCTCTTGTAGTAACAAGATGGCTGCCAGGAGTTCTAGGTTTCTAGGCTTCACAACTTCACAGCCTCACAACCTTGAGTCCAACAGAAAAGAAAGTTTCTTTTCTCCAACAGTTCAGACAGACATCCACGCCTGACTCTCAGTGGTCCGAATTAGGTGGGCTATGTGCACCATCTGTACTAGTATGGCCTGGGGGAGGCAGTGCTCAGCTTTATCAGACCTAAACCACATCCTCACCTGAATAGGGATGGAGCTGACACCAGCTAAGTCTCATGGAAAGAAATTGGGAGAAGATGTTTCCTAGAGGAAAACCAGAGGAAGCAGGGGGACAACCAGTAGGTGGCTGCCATTGTGTGTTTTTTCTTAGGGGGCTTTAGTTAAAATGAGTGGGTGTTGCTGTGAAGGGTTTCTCTTTCCTTTGTGGAGTTTTAAACGCATTGACAAATGCTTATTAATCAAAATTGTTCCTGCTTTTCTTCGTGAAAAGTGTCCTCGAATTTCTAATATTTTCTTTCTTCATGGTGTCCTGCCGCCACAGGTTTATGTCTGGTCTGTGGTTTGACACTGGCAACTTTGGTCATGTATCTCTAGAAAAAAATGGCAAAAATAAAGAAATGTGGAATGTTATAAAAGTTACTAATCGCTTATAAAATGGGCTTAGGGGGGCTTCCCTGGTGGCGCAGTGGTTGGGAGTTCGCCTGCCAATGCAGGGGACAAGGGTTCAGGCCCTGGTCCAGGAAGATCCCACGTGCTGTGGAGCGGCTAGGCCCGTGCACCACAGCTGCTGAGCCTGTGCTCTGGAGCCTGGGAGCCGCAGTTGCTGAGCCCGCGTGCCACGGCTGCTGGGGCCCACGCGCCTGGAGCCCGTGCTTCATGGTGGGAGAGGCCACCATAGTGAGCAACCCGGGCACCGCGGCAAGGAGTGGACCCTGCTCTCCGCAAGTAGGAGAAAGCCCATGCGCAGCAATGAGGACCCAACACAGTCAAAAATAAATAAATAAAATTTTTAAAAAATGGGCTTAGGAACATTTCAACTTTTTAGATATTTTTAGTTCATCTGATGAATCCTCTGCATACTTGCTTGTCTTCTTTTATTTCTTGTTGCTGCTTTAGAGTTTTTGGAGTTTGGAGGTTTTGAGTAGAGCTTATTACACTTTTTCAAATCACATATGTATTCTGTAGAAGTATGTTTATTGATATGGCTAGAATGTCACAATATATTAGTTGTGTGAAAAGAAAAAAGGCTTCAAATTAATAGGATCTAGTTTGTTTAAAAAAAAGACCACAGTATCCATGGTAGTTGTCTTTGGGTGGTGATATCACTATATAAGTTTGTTTTTTTTTTTAGCTTTTCTGCATGTTTCAAGTTCTAAAAATGGATAAAAAGAAATTGTTAAAGATAAGTAAAATACATACATATAACATTTCCTATAACTTTACCATCCACGAAAAAAGTTCATATTAACCTTGTTCTGAAGGCAGAATTTGAAACTAGTCTTAATAATGAGTTGTTTCTCTGCCCGATGTTCCTTAGTCACTGTCAGTTATTAATTTACAAGGATTGGGGATCTGTATGTTCTATAAAGAGTTCCAAATGTAACATATATTAAATAGCAAATATTAAATCAATGAAAGTATATTTTAGTGGTATTTTCACCCATTATGTTCACACAAATGGGATCATGAAACGCTCAAAAGATCCCTGCTTTGGTACTGCTGAGCCTGGGGTTCCTGCCAGCTTTCTCGAACAGCTACCGAGCAGTGCTATCTTGCAAGTTACACCTACTTTCTGGGCCTCAGTTTCCTTCTGGCTACACCATGTGGGGTTTGTCTGAGCTCGTTTCTAAGGTCCCTTTAAGTTGCTTCCCCTTAGTGAGTGCTGGGCCGCTGGTTCATCTAAATCTGGTTGTGGCTGAGATTGACTTTATTGCACAGCTGTCTCTTCCCCTGCCTCAGCCCTACTGACTCCATTCATTACCTCCACCTCCAGTATCTCTCAATTTTGAAATCATTTGCTGTGATTCTGGAGGCCAGAGTGGGTACTTCCTTCCTTCAGTCTCATACTGGAGGGAATCCAGGAAATGCGGCATAGAAGGAGGACATCACTGACGTCTACCGAGGGCCTGTAGTGTGTGCACAGCTCAGGTCTGGCACTCGGGTGGCTTACTGTCTGCCCTTCAGCAGCAAACAGATGCCAGGGGAAGTAAGACATGCCCGTGATTAACCAAAATAGGGGGCACACAGCCTGCAGACCATAGGGTTCAATTACTTATACCTTTGTGTTCTAGTTCAACCATTTAAACTGAGTCCCCTCTTCTTAAAAACACCTACCCAGAAGAGTTTGTAGTCCAAAGGTACGATTTCAAGTCCCACTGCTGCTTTTTCCTAGCAGCATGGGTGAGTCACAGACTCTAACATCCTCTTCTCTCCGTTCATCTGGTTAAAAGGAAGGGCCAAATGAGAGTCAGGTATGTGCTTGTGTTTTGTTGACTATACACAAAAGCACCTTATTCTTTCATCTTCTGATTCCGCTAACCTTCCTTGTATTGAGAATGAACAGAGAGGTCAAAATAAAGAATGACACATGAGAAGCAACCTAAGTGCCCATCGACAGATGAATGGATAAAGAAGATGTGGCACATATATACAATGGAATATTACTCAGCCATAAAAAGAAACGAAATTGAGTTATTTGTAGTAAGGTGGATGGACCTAGAGTCTGTCATACAGAGTGAAGTAAGTCAGAAAGAGGAAAACAAATACCATATGCTAACATATATATATATATATATATATATATATGTATGGAATCTTAAAAAAAAATGGTTCTGATGAACCTAGGGGCAGGACAGGAATAAAGACGCAGACGTAGAGAATGGACTTGAGGACACAGGGAGGGGGAAGGGTAAGCTGGGACAAAGTGAGAGAGTAACAATGACATATACACTACCAAATGTAAAATAGCTAGTGGGAAGCACCTGCATAGCACAGGGAGATCAGCTGGTGCTTTGTGACCACCTAGAGGGGTGAGATAGGGAGGCTGGGAGGGAGACACAAGAGGGAGGGGATATGGGGATATATGTATACATATAGCTGATTCACTTTGTTGTACAGCAGAAACTAACCTAACATTGTAAAACAATTATACTCCAATAAAGATGTTAAAAAAAAGAAGAATGACACATGAAACCATAAGATCAAGTTACTAAGGAAAAGTTAGCATGAATACAGACAGTTCTCCTTAATTCTGTGTAACCTAAAATATTTCTTTTTTTTGTAAAATATTTCTAATATAAATCATGAATATACTTTTGTAGGAAATAGTTACTACTGATATTACTGAAAATTATTTCCAATTCTTGAAAAAAGGTATTCTTATTAAAAACATGTCTTCAAAATCGAATACATGAATATATGTATAAATAAATGCATAAAAAAGACTGGAATGATTCACACGAAGCAGAAGTGGTCATTCCAGGAGAGAGACATGAAATGAGGGAAGAGGGGATTTTCAAGGAAAAAATTTTTTTCGAGTTTCAATATTGAGTTTTTTAAAAACTGAGCATATCTAACTGTATACCTAAAATACTTTTTGAGAGAAATCCTTGTAGTATGGAATACTGGGTGGGGAGGGGGCAGGGAGGGTTGTCTCCATAATCACCTGTTTTCTATCTTATTTTACAGTTGGTTCTGTGAGTGATTGTATCTTGGCGTGATGGGACTCACCCTCAGCCCCAGGGAGTGGGAGAAGCAGCCAGATTTAGCCAGGTGGGGGTGGGGTAAGAAGAAGGGGGGGGTCAGGTCTCCTGGGGCCTGAGAAAAGGTAGGATAGGTTACAGGTAGGGGAGGGTGGAAGAATGAGGCTTAGGGAGCCAAGGAGAAGCTCTGGCAGAAGCTTTAGGAACCTACACCAATTGTGGTTCCATTAATGAATAGGCACAGCTCTGATCATTTGTTTTTTTCAGTACTGACTCCATCCTGGAGTGCCTTTACAAAAGTCTAGATTGCTTTAATAGGACAGATGACAAATTGTTTCCCACCTGTGGATTTTCCTTCATGCCAGCCTTGCTTGGTTTTGCCTGGCTTTATTCTGTGACCAGAGAAGAAGATGGAATTCTGAAAAGTTGCTTTAGCCAGATCCTGTGAACAAAGGGAGCCTTGTTTGGGGTTATGCACACCAGCTTTTGGAGGAGTCTAATTCATCAGCTGGCATCTCTGCTTTTCAAGTCCTTGCTCTGGTTAGCACTGTGTTTCTCTGTCCGTGGAGGAGCAAACCTTCTGGAGGAGCAGGCCCACTGCTTGTTCACCTGGCTCTGGTTACAGGGGGCAGAGGCAGGCCCTAGGGGCTCTAAATGGGCACCCATAGTGAGTCCAAGAGAGGGAGGCAGCCTTTGTTACTGTGTTTGCCTGGCCCATGGCTACATGGATGCCATTATAATTTCCAAGATTTCCCTGGATTGGTCAGGTATGCAGTCCACCAGACTGGTGCTGACACAAAAGTCGGAAACTGGGAATGTCAGTCACCCTCCTGTTAGTCCCCTCCCCGCCTGCAACTGAGATTTCCTGAAAAGCTACCAGCATTGACTGGTTTGAGTCCTGGCGGAGTGCGGGCGAAGCCTGGAGCACATAAACCAGTTCTGAAACTTGTTCTCCATTGGTGGATTGATTTTTTTCCCCCCCAGGACAACGGTAACTTTGAGCCCCTTCAGGTGCTATTAGAAAAAGCTCCTGTTGTGGTATGTTAAGTGACCTTCTATCTAGTAGGAAGACTTGTGGGGAATTTCTTGGGGCCTGGGGCATTCCAGCTCCCCACGTGGGGAAGGTGTGAGGCCTGCGTGCTCCCCGCTAAGGCCCGGGGACTAACGGCGTTAGGCGGCCAGCGTGAGCGTGTGGCTTCCGCCTTCTTCATTTTTGTCTCCTTCCTTTTCCCTTGACAGAGCAATTTTGTTTTGATGCTGTGCCAGAAATCTTCTGACAATGAGTTACTGGAACTTGGAGAAAAGGAACTGTGTGCAGTACCGCAGGCATTTTCTGGTGGACAACAGTCTGTTTCACGGTGAGTTGCCTTTTCTACTCCTGTAGGCGGATCTTTTGTTTCTGAGAGCACTTTTATTCCAGCACTCTGGATGCAAATGTGGTATGATTGTTGGGTTGAACCAAGAGCCTGAGTTAACTTGTTGATGAAAAATTACCCAAGAATCCCCACTGGACTCATTCCGCAGAGTAGCAAGCTGTGTGCCGCCCCTCAGCAACCATAACAGCATCGTTACTTTCTACCTCTCAGGTTAGTTTATGTCAGTGCCTTTCCTCTTCTACTACACTGTCAACTCCAGTAATATCCCTTTCCGATGGTTGAAATTGGGGGAGCTAGACCCATAGGTAGTGCTCGGTTAATATCGGTGGATCATCAATCAGGGCTTATAACCAGCATGGTGTGTGCCTTCTATCAGGCTCCATATAAAAACAGAGCAGATGAGGGCACTTAACCATAACTATCAGGGTGGATGACTGCAGCTGTAAATCAGAGAATAATCAACATTAGTCATTTTCATGGCAAACTAAGATGAATTGCCTTTACCCTGCTGACATATTTGTTTTGTTTTATACAGCCAGGGATAAGCTCTGTCAATCCTGATATCAGGGTGCCCTTGAGTGAAATTTACTTAAGAGTCAGAGATGCATGTGTTGGCAGAATTTTTGGAGCAATCCCCATTAAGAGCTGGTGGAATTGTAGAGGGAAGAGAGAGATTTCATGAGAAGTGGAGCGCTGCTGAACAGAATCCTTCATCTAAGCTGCCTTCAACTTTCTAAGTTTGGTTTTTCTTCCCCAATTTAGTGCAGACTTACTGTTTTTTAATTGCTTTAGATTAAGTTTAAGATAACAAACTTAACCCTACTTACTTTGTTAAAGCACATCTTACAATGTTTTTTCTCGTTCATTATGCCACCTCACTATCGGACTTTACTCCGTAGAGGATGCCTTCATTTACAGGTCAAGAAAGGGAAGCAGAGATGAAATGACCAGCCCAAGTTGGCATAGCCAGTTATTAGCAAGGTCAGATCTAAAATTCTAGCCTCTACACTTCCAGGCTGGCTCTCTTGGCATTGCAGCGGCGACAGCCTCTTAGCAAAGGAGACTAAGACATGGTGACTTCACACGCTGGCACTGAGTTCTGCTTTGTTTTCCTGTGAACCTCATCTAAGGACCCTGTTCGTTGCTTCATCTCTCACACAGTGTTTGCTGTGTGGTGCTTTCTGTTACAAATTTACTTGTATTAAAAAAAAAAAAAGAATAAATATGATAAAGAAACACAGGAGTTAGAAAAATTAGCTTTATTTTTTCCAAGTTTTGTGCCAATTTTGAAAAAGTTCAGATTTTATTTATTCATTATTTTAGAATACCTTTGTCCAGAGATCTCAAAGACTATAACAACTTAAAAACAATTTCCTATGTATTGTTACAGCTGTGTTACCACTTAGTGAATTACTGTATTGCTGATAGTTTTCCTGAGGGCTTGAGGAACATGATCCTATTGAATCCTTTCAGCACCTTTGCGATAGTTATTATTCATCCCATTTTATGGATGGGGAAACAGAGGTTTGGGGAGGTTGTTGAAGTGGTGATCTAAAATCAAACTCGTGTCTGCTTAACTCCAAAACCCCACTATTTTTTTTCCAGGCTGCACCTCCATTTTAATAGAAAAATTAACACTCTGAGAGGTTTAAGTTCTTTTCAACAGTATTCGCTCTGCTATTAACTAGCCATGTCTGATCTTGACTACGTTATATAATCCTTCAGGATCTCAGTTTTCTCGTCTGTGAAATGAGTGTGCTGGTCTCGATGATTTTTTAGGTTCTTCCTAGTTCTAGTCTCTGAGATTCCATTGAAGTATTTCTGAGAATTACAGTTGCTGTATGTATTTTGTGAGCTATCTTGTCTCTGAACATGAGATTCACAAGAGGGCAGTAGAATACTTAAAATATGACTTGGTTACTTACGTTGAAGAATTACTCATTTGAGAAGATTTAGAGATATCAAATCTTCCCAAGATTAAAAGGACTAAAGCCAGTTAGAATTATGATTCTGTTCATTTATAATAAAGCAGTAGCTTTAAGTATTTCTGATAGTTAAAATATCATTTTGGATCTCTATGCCAAAGGATATGTAATTCAGGAAAGAACGATGCCTCTGCTCTTCCACTGTATTTACTTCTGCAGAAAAGTAATGTCTGTGAAGACAGGAATTTATTTAACTTTATGGAGGATTGTGAGGAGTCTTGGTATATTTTAAGCCAAGGGAGCACTAGTGATAACATCTTTGTAGATGATTTCTAAACATTTATGAGAAAAGACAGGACATGTTGAGTTAGAAAGGTCAGATTTCTTTTAGAGGGGATTCTCCTGGTCTGCTGGTAACTCTCCTTACATAACCAAATCAAGCCAAACAAAAAGAAACAAAACCCCTCCATTATAAACAGAAAAGAACCATTTCCTCTGCAAGATAATAGACTTTTAGAATATGCAGACTCAGATGTGCAAATTGTGCTAGCCAGACTTAAGCAGTATTCCCAGGAGAAAGGAACCACCTTAAAAAGAGGACTAGGTGGGCAGTAGGGGGTCAATAAAAGTAAAAATAAAAATGTAGTATTTGTATACTGTTTCACAGTTCATAAAGCACATTCATAGCCTCCCTTTCTGAGTATAGAGGAGGTAGGTTCTCATTGGAAACAATGTAGAAAATTACCCACAATCTCCCAACCCAAATTGGAGTAACAGAATAACACTAATTGTCTGTTTCTACCCGGTCTTTTATCTCCTCTCATCTTCGCAACAGTCCTGCTGTAGGAATGGAATACCTGGAAAAGGTAGGAAACGGTGGGTACTAGGCAACAGAAATGAGCTGATTGAATTGACAATTCTGTGTCAGTCAGGAGAGGACCCCTGGTAGGCATTATGATGAGCTGTTTTTGTATTTCCCACTTGTGCTGGCCTTTGCCCTGATTTTTAGGGAATCTTGAATCCAAAGGGATTTTGAGCCTATCAAAGAAGCCAATTGCCAGAGGTTTTCTCTAGTTGGCTTTTGTTTTAACATGTTTGATATAGAGAAAAAACTTGGGCAAAGAATAATTTGTGTAGTATGAACCTTGCTTTAATGGCTTATATTTTCATGAATTATTTTTATTTGAAAATTACCTGTACCCTCAGCTCTTTCTCTTGGCTGTCGTGAATTGCAGCATTTTTTTCTGACCTGGGATACATATTCTTAAACCTGTTATCAGTGTATTTACAGTTTATATATATCCAATTTCTAATGCACATAAGCTTTTTTCAAACATTTGAGTTCCTACTTGGAGGTGACTTAATTTTTGTTTTCATGCATTGCTAGTTATAACTGTGATGTTGAAAAAATTGTGATGTTGCTTTCCTGTAAGTTATATGGTATCACCCCTACTTACTATATTGAAATTTATTTCTGTTGCTCTCATGTTGTTATATGAATGTTTCTGAATGATCAAGGCAAATCTAGACTAGAAACGTTTTGAATTGAATTACGAGTGTCTCTTACTATCTAGGGATAAAATTAAGGATAGTTCTGGTATTAAATATTTATGTAGTATGTCTTTTTAAAAAGTGCTTTATATGTACTTTGACTTTGCCTCACAAAAAACTTCTAATCAAACTAATTAGCTTATTAAATAATTAGTTTTTAGCCAGCCTCCCCTTCCTGGCCAGAGGCCTAATTGGTGATGTAGGACAGAAACTGGACTGCCAGTTTGTAAAGGAAAGTAGGTTTGAATTGGATCCCAGAGACTAGTTCTAGCTCCATTTTTATGACTCACTTGTGTAGCCTTTGTCACCTAGGTGACCCTCAGTTTCCCTCTTTCTAAAATGAGGGTTTTCCAGATTCCAAAGTTCCCTTCTAGCAGCAACGTTGTGGTCTCTGTGTAGTCAAACAGGATGTGCAGTGAACAGGAGTGTCCTACAGGCCAGAACATGGGAAGAGAGGGCTGACAAGATGGCAATGAAGAGGAGGAAGATTCTTGTTTGATTGTAAACTTTGTAGTTACCTTGGCACTGGCAAAAAGCTGCATTTCCCTTTAGGGGTGTGTGTGTGCGTGTGTGTGTGTGTGTATGTGTGTATGTGTAGGGTTGTTCTTGAGTCCCTCGTGTGTGTGTGTGTATGTGTGTGTGTGTAGGGTTGTTCTTGAGTCCCTCGTGTGTGTGTGTGTGTGTGTGTGTGTGTGTGTGTGTGTGTGTGTGTGTGTGTAGGGTTGTTCTTGAGTCCCTCGTGTGTGTGTGTGTGTGTGTGTGTGTAGGTTGTTGAGTCCCGTGTGTGTGTGTGTGTGTGTGTGTGTGTGTAGGGTTGTTCTTGAGTCCCTCCCAAACATGGAGAGACCAGTAGCTAGGACTGACAAGCTTTCAGGACAAACGTCATTATACTCAAAGAAGAGTGGAGAAGTTCTCACTGGAATTCCATCCTCGTTGTAAAAAAGAAGAATGCCAGATCCGGCCTGGTAAATATGAAAGGAGAATGAAATTATGCAGGCATGAATTTCGGTTCTCATTCATTTAGGCCAGTTTATTAGCAAGGTATGACTTTGGCAGCCTGTCTGCTTTAGCGGTTTGGGGCATTACTGGATTTTTTTATCAGAGTGTCATTTCTTAACTGAGTCAAACCCTAGCTTTTCCAGCCAATGACTGTATATACATCCTCTTCTAGGTCCAGAAAAACACCAGCACACAGAGAATTCCTGCTAATGCAATGATAGTCAAGATATTGTGAACATCATTAAGATCAAAAGTATTATCTCTTAGAGGAGCACTGCATGGAAAAAATTTCAAAGACAGTTGAGAGAAAGTATAAAAAAAAAAAAAGATAGGCCTTAAAGGGAGAGAATATACTTGAGTCATTTAAATGATGTAATAGAACTAATTCTGGAAGCAGCCTTGCCCAGAAGATTCCTCTTTAGCCCCACACTCAAGTCTCCCCCTCCCCCTTCCATGGCCACCAGGCAGAAAGCACGAAGGGCAGGTATACTTTCAGGTCTGTGATGT